TCTCAGCCCCATATCCCGGACACCTCGCTCCTCTTTCCTGGACAAAGGCAGGTTATCAGTTTCTTGCATCCCTTTCCAGCAATATTTGGTGTGCATGTAACAGCAATATACCTACCTACACACACACACACACACACACACACACATATCTACAAGTGTGTGTGTTCCTTCTTTTCCCTACTACCCACACCAGAGATGTCCACTGCCCTTTCCCCCAGCCTCAACCCTTCCTCAACATGCTGAGTTGGGAGCCACGAAGTTCCAGGGCCCCTGGCAAGCTGCCCCCTCTGCCTCTGCACACTCACAGCCATGGCCCCACCATCTGTCTAAGGGATCACCAGGCCTGGTCCCCCTGTCCCAGGGTAGCTGCTGCAAGATGCCCATGACTCCCAGGTTGTCTTTCATCTGGACTTCATCCTGAGATGGCTGGATTTGCTCCTGGTCTGACTCAAGTCTCCACCCGTCCTTAACTGCCCACACCCTGCCACAGGGCCCCTGGAGCTCACAGCCTGTCATCAGCAGATTCCTCCATCTCCATGACCCCTCTCTGGACATTCCTCTCACCTTCTTGCTCGGACTCACGGTCCTCCAGCCCAGCTGCAGAACAGAATCACCTGGGGAGCTTTCAACAGCTACTACCACCTGGACGCCACACCCAGGGATCCTGATTAATTAGTCCATGGGCTTGATTCTGGTTAGTCAAGGGTGGGACTGAGCCCTGGTATCTCTCCCCATTACACCTTCTAGGTGAACCTGACTTGCAGGGAGGGGCTGAGCAAACAGCCCTGAGGCTGCAGCATCTCACCCCCTGACTGGGTGCTTTCTCACACATCCTTGGTATGTTGGGCTTGGAGGTGGACAGGTGCTGCCTGTTCTTCCAGGTCACTCGCCTCATTCCACTGTGCACTGTCTCTTTCCAACACTGCTGCTGTCATGATTCTGGGTGATTCAATAACTATGTCAGTGTCCCTTCCAACACATGCCTCTTGGTCCCTTTACCTCCTCCCTTCCACCATCCTGTCCCCCACCCCTCTCCTACAGTCATGCTGTGGTCTTTGTCATAACTAAGTGCTCCAGTTAGAACCTCAGTGCTAAGCATCCTGAACTCCAAAGCAGCCTGTCTTCCTGGCTCACTCCTTCTAGTGTCTTGATTCCAAAAAATTCTTCAACCCCCCCAGGATCTACCTCCATTTCACTGTCCCTCACCCTGTTTGTGTTCCCACTTCCCTCCTCCTTAACCAGCTTAATCAGTTTTGGTCACTTACACTCTCCAGTCCCCTGCTGTCTCTCTCCATTGTCATCCCTTGTTATTTCCTCCTAACTGGTGAAGTCCATCCCTCCACCTACTCTGGGCGTGCCTCCAAGCAGCTAGACATAGCTGGAGAAATCACGCAACACACACCTTGGGTCCCCTGACAAGCAGGACCTTGGACAAGTCATTTCACTGCTCTGCACCTCAGTTTCCCTATGTGTAAAATAGCAAAAACAATACTTACTGGTAGGGGCACATTGAGCTTAAATGAGTTAACATATGAAAGTGCCTTTAGCACTTCCTGGCCTGTAGTAAGCGCTGTCTATTGTAAAAATACATGATCGTTAGAAGTGCCTCACTGATGGGAGGCAACAGCCTGCTTTCAGAAGTGTTAAAATGCAAAGAACTGTCCATCTTGGAGCTGGAGATGTGTTAGCTACCCCCATGCTGGCTGGCATCATTGTACACTCCCTACTGCTAGCCACCAGTGTGCCCTTCATGCCTTGTGCACTCCCTATCTCTTGCACAATTACTTCACACTCACTCCTCCTTAGGCCTCCAACCCCTTCTCCACCATTTGTACTCTCAGCTGATGACCTTGCTTCCCACTTCCCAGAGAAAAATGACACAATCAAAAGGGAATTCTGGCAATGAGAAGCCCCTCACCCCAGCTTCTCAGTTGCCAACAACTGTGCCCATGGGCTGGCCCTTCCCTCCTGTCCATGGGAACGGAATGTGCTCCCAGCCAAGACCACTTCTCTGCTTGGTCACCGGCTTCCACCTCTCCTGCTTATTGAAGGACCTCGGTTCCTTTCACCCAACAACATCAGTGTCCCCCCTTACTGGATATTTTTTAAGTGTACAATTCAATGGTTTTTAGTATATCACAGAGGTATGCAGCCAATACCACAATCAATATTACAACTTTCTCATCACCCCAAAAAGCAAGCTTATCCCCACTAACAGTCACTTCCCAGTTTATACGTCCACCTGACCTCCAGACTCATCAAGCCAATGGCCTTCTCAATATCTCCACCTGAATATTAGACATTTTAGACTCACCATGTCTAAAACAGTATTCTTCATGTACTCCAGCAAGCTGATCCTCCCACTGTCTGGGCCCATCTCCATAAGTGCCAACTATCCTTCTAGCTGCTCAAGAGTTATCCTTGACCTTGCCCTTTTTCTATCCCTCACTCCAACCCAACAGCAATCCTGTTGACTGTACTTCCTACATGTATCTTCAGTCTGATCACCCCCATTGCCATCCACTAGCCTTTTTTAGCTGGTCACCTCTCACCTGGATGAATTCTAGCATCTGGATAAATTGACCTGGATGGAGCCTTCTAGCTGGTCTTCCTGTTCCACCTGCTGTTGTTCAAAGGGCACATTAACCATTTTGCATCCATCTGGCAAAAACTGAAGTCTAACATGGGTGGAGTAACTGGTACTCCACCCATGTTAGACTTAGCAACATTGGGAGTGTTAGTAGATGCAACCACTTTGGAGAGCAATTTGGCCAATATCTAGTAAAACTGAAGATATGCATACCCTTTGAGACAGTAATTGCACTCCTAAACCTATATACTCTAGAGAAACTTGTCCACATGAAGACCTGTGTAATAATGGTTACTGTAGCATAATGGCAATGATGAAACTGGTAGCAAGTTAAATGATCATCAACTAGAGAATAAATAAACAAATTTTAGTTTAGTGCTCCAGTGGAATACTATACAGCATTGAAAATGGATGCACTAGAGCTACATATATCATTATAGATAGATCTCAAAACACAGTGTTGAGCAAAAATAAAAACAAGTTTCAAAGGATTGTTCATAATATGGTGTCATTTATGTAAAGTTTAAAAGAATGCACAAATTCTATTTGTTGTTTATGGATACATATATGAATTACATTTTTTTGGAATTTATTTTAGCAGGATAAATCCCAAATTCAGGAAAGTGGTTATCTTTGGGGAGGAAGGGAATGGGATTAAGGCAAGCTATACAGATACTTTTATGGCATCTGTAATATTTTATTTTTTAAGTATATTTATTCTATTATTATATGTGTGTTATATGCCTGAGACATTTCATAATTAAAAAGATGTTTTACAGAGTGTCTGAATCAAATGGGGAGCAGTATAGTGTGTGCTGGAACTGATAGCTAATCTCATGAATTGGTTCCACTTGCTCCTGGAGTTACATACCCAGCTCTCTTAACCATGGATGCCACCAATGAGCCCATCTGCAGACCTGATTGAACACCCACACTTATGAACATCACCAGAGTATATAATTGTCTCATAAAGTTCATTTAAGTATAACTGAAAGACCCAAGTGAACACCTTAGACTGATCATGATTCTTGAAATACAGTTGAAGTAATTCATAAAAACAGCAGGCTCTCTTCTCATGGCCCTCTGTTGTCTCCCCCACAGAAACCAGGTTCACATTTTTTTCCTTGTCCATCATCAGGTGTTCACAGCAACCCTATGCCAGCCACGTGGCTTGGGCGTCATGCTCATGTCTCAGGACACTCGCTAAGTGCTTCATAAAGTGGACCTCCATGGTTGCTCATGTAGAAATGTTATATCCAAAAACACCAAGGGCCAACTCATGCCGTCTGGTGAATATGGAGTGGTGTGTGTCCTGCCCTTGCCACCTCCCAAACATCAGGAGCTGTTAACAGGGGAGTCAAGAGGGAATGGGTATTTTAAACCCCACTAAATCTGGATTCTTCTCCATGTGTCATCTGTATGAACATTACGTGTAGGCATTAACGTGGGGGGCACACGTGTGAGATGGCAGTTGTGAAGGCCAATACTAAGGGCCTCGAGCTGGCAGAGTTCTGACTCATGCCCGTGGACTGGCGTCTTGCCAGTTCCCTGCTGGTTGCTCACTGATCAGCTGGCACTAGAGGTGGACTTCCCAGCCTGCCCAGCTGGGGTTACTAGTGTACATTGGTTGGGTACTTTGAACTATTCCCCAATCTGCATTTGAAATTCTCTCATTCCTCAGTGACTTGGCTCATGCAGGCTATGCCCAGTGGCCCAAAGGAGAGCAGAGAGGAAAGGCCACATGGTGTGCAAAGACCACCGTCAGGAGACCTGGGTGTGCATCCTCAGAGTGCCTAGGCCCTGCTGCAGCCCTGTCAGCTGTGCAGTGGTCCTGCTCAACCTGTTCATGGGGCTCTGTTCATGAAATGAGAGATGTGGATGGACTTGGTATAGGGTAAAATCACTATATTATCTTTAATAAAATAGTAAAATTATTCCCCTGATTTGGGTACAAGCTAAGATTCCCAAGGTAGCTTTCTTCTCTCAGGCATCTTCTTGGTTCCCATTGTCACAGACTCACCCAGTGAAATCCCCACCACTCCTTGCCTCCAGGCCCTGGCCAAACCCGACTTCCCACCATTGCCCCAAGCATGCCCAGAGCTTTTCCACGCTCTTGCTCATGTGGTTCCTGTAATGTAGGTGCCTGCAATGTCCGACTGCCACTCACTGAAATCCTATCTGCTCTCTAAAGCTCATTTCATATGTTGTCTCCTCCCTGAAGCTTCTGATTTCACCCAAATTGATGATGTCACTTTCCTTGGAACCTTGAGGGCAGGGCCCATGTCTCCTTCCAAAGTGCATCCCTCCAGGGCCTAACACAATGCCTGACCCATAGCAGGTCCTTAGTGAGTATTAAATTGCATGAAGATGAGCAGGCCCCATGGAGCTGTTAGTGTCCTGCAACCCTTACCTTGGGAGTGAACATGTGTAGGATGCCATCAACAGCCCCTCGCAGCAGTAGCCCCCGGACCAGGAAGCAGGCCAGCACCACATAGGGGAAGAGGGAGCTGAAATACATCACCTGCAGAGAGGACAGGGACCCACCGTGGGGCAGAGCCCCTCCTGCAGCTGGCATTCCCCTCCCCGCTCACAGCTGGGGTATAAGAGCCTCCTCTGATGGCAGCAGAAAGCACAGCCCTGGGACCCCCTGGGCACAGGGCCAAACCCACCGCATGTCTGGCATTGAGCCAAGGCAGAAGCAGGCATACAGACAAGCTGGAGTCAGCATGGCTGTACCTGGGGCTGGTTTTCTCTTCAAGGGCTGCTGGGGCTACCCTGCAGCCTCCCCACCCCTAGGAACCACCAAGGGGCAAGGAGCCCTTTGCTCTCCCTACTCATTTTTTCAAATCTCATGCCTGCTCTTCTGTCCCTGACTCCAGTGGGTCCCCTAAGGATCTCCCCTGTCCGTAGAGCTCCTCTGACAGAAGGCATCCAGGAGGGTAAAGACATGACTCCCAAGCAGAAACATCAGAAGTCCTACCTCTTATAATTATAACTCGTGTGCTATTTTCTAGCATATGTGTTTCTTGTACATTTCTGTATTATCCCCATGTGCCCGGCACAGAGCCTCACACAAAGAGGATGTTCACAAAATGTTTACTGCACTGAAAAAAATCAAGAGGGCTGTTAGGGGAGGATGGTGTAAAGGTTACGAGTGTGCATGTCCAGAGCTAGACCACCTGAGTTTTTATTCTGACTCTACCATTTTACCAATCATGTGACTTTGGGCTATGTACTTAACCTCTGTGGACCTCCATCTCCTCATCTATAAAGTGGGTATAATATAATAATTCTTAGCTCACAAGGTTTTTGTGAACCATGTGGCAGGGCCTGGTAAGTGCCACGAAGTATCAGCTACAATGTTGCCTTTTGAAATGGAAGACGCGGTGGCTGAGAACACTCCCCCTTTCCAAGGCTCAGCTTCCTTGCTCATCAGGTCCAGTAATGAACCTGGAGCCTCACACGGACGTCCAGTGCTCTAGTTCCAGCTTTGGGACTGGATGGCTGTGTGATCTCAGGTGAGGCACTTTCCCTCTCCAGGCCTCAGTTTCTTCATCTGTGAAATGAGTGGATTGGGCTATAGGATTTCTAATGTACTTCCCAGCCCTGGAAGCCCATGAATACGGATATGTGACAAAGAAGAAAGGACGCTTTTTTGAAGGGGATCTGACCTGCCGGGAGAAGGCCTGTGCGTTTGGCTGGTCTGCACCCTGAGACTGGTGTTGGGCTGCCCTAGGAGGCCCCCAAACCCCCTTCACTCACCACACCCACCTGCTCAAAGAGCCCTTTAGTTGCAGGCATGGTGAGCCACTGGTTTTCAGCAAAACTTGCTCAGAGCAGGCTCTTCTAGGGCTTTTGCTTGGGAACCATAGAGACTAGGATCTAGACAAAGATCCCTGGCTCAGTACTCCTGGTTTTCTTTCTCTTTAAAGTATCACATTCTAATACAGCCCAACAACAATTAAACAACAGCCCAAGTTATCTGAGCACAGAGGTGGTTGGGAGTCAAAGCAATGGTCCTCTGCAAGCCCACTCCTAGCCCCTCCCACGGGCCACCCACAGGCAGTGACCTCAGGGGGCCCGTGCTGCCATCCGGAGCCCTCCGCAGGCTGAGCCCCTGAAGGCCCCTGCACAGATGACCCAGAGTTCTCAGCTCCCTGCCCTCCAGGCTTCTCTGCTGCCCCGTGTGAACCTGAGTGCCCGCTCCAGACTCACCTTCCCCGAGGACTGGATGCCCCTGACCACGGCCATGCCCACGATGCTCCAGGCCACCAGGAGGCACAGCGTCATCTTCCAGTTGAGGCCGCCACTCTCCGAGATAGAGTTGGAGATGTCTAAGGCCTCTCGATACCAGAAGTAGGTAGTGGCTGAGCTCTTTTCACACTCTGTCTCCACCACTGAAACAGCAGCAAAGACCACAGGGCCTCCAGGGCAGGGCTGTGCAGCCACCTCCTCAGCTGGACCCCCACCCAGGGCAGCAGTGGGTGAGGGGACAGCTGAGTGTGGGTAGCAGGGAAGGGCTGTGCTTCTTCTGGGGTCACTAGGATCTGACTGACCCTGAGGACTCCTGGGCTCCCGACAGGGCCTGGGAAGTTTCAGGACACACTCATCTGGCTAAATTCCACTCGTGCCACCATCTGCCCACGTCCTTCCATGGAGGACAGGAAGGTTAGGCAGAACTGGCCTCAAGTTCCTTGGGAAAGGTCCTGAGCTGGGAGCCAAGGATCTGGATTCTCATCTCAGATCCTTGGTTAAATCAGTCATGCGGCCATGGGGAAGTTGCTTCTGGGCCTCATTTTAACCATCTGTGAGGTGGGATAAATCATCCAGCCCTTTATAAGACTGAATGCAAATTAAGCTTGTTTCCAGATAGGACAGTGGAGTGACACAGAGTAGTTGATAACAATTAAACAAAAGTCACAATTTTCATATTTTTACCTACACTCAATATTTGATTCAATCTCTGTAAAAACTGTATGGGATAGGCTGACAAGGATCATCAGAAGGAGAAATGAGAATCAGAGAGGGTGGTGCCTTACTCAAGGTGACACAGCAAGTTAATGAAATCCTAAATCTGTGTCTAAGCTCTTGGGCTTAACTCCTTGCTGGGACAAGACTGGCTAGGGTCCCCAGATCATCATACTCAGAAAGTCCCCTACTTGCCTGCCAAGGTCCCATTCCTGATGACAGGACATTCACTCCAGGGCAGCGGGTACTGGAAGGACTTGAAGAAGTAGAAGATGCTCCACCCGATGATCACATTATAATACAGCCCAACAAAAAGGCAGACCTGAGGAGGAGGGTCCACGGAGGGGGATGAAGGCTGCAGGCAGCTCCGCCCCAGCCCCCAGCCCCACCCAAGGCCCCCACTCAGGCTGGCTGCACGCATCACAGGGCCCAGCCTTGAAGGAGGAGGAGGGCCAGACGTGGGCAGCGACAGCCTCTTCCTAATCCTCCATTCATCCGGTATTCGAGGAATCCACAGAGGAATGTCTCAGATATTAAAGTTTTCTCCTTTAAGCAATAAACTCTTAAAATGTTAATCCTTTCCAGTTAGAAATTATTCTAAGATGCTTGAAGCACCTCCCCATCATTTTCTGGTGACTCGGGATCACAGTTCCAGGGCTGCCCTGGGGGACCGTGGGACATGCGTGGCTTTTGCGTCTGCCGTGAATCTCCCCAGACAGTTTGGGGCTTTTGGGGATGCTTCCTACTGGCTTCCTACATCCCCTCTTCGCTCAGGGTGCTATTCCCCCTTTGGGAATGTCAACAGCTTGCCTCTAGAAGGACATCAGTTATCATTTCATATCTCTAGAAAGACGCCACTTCTCATTTCTTGGAAGCATGATAACTAACCTTGGTGGAACTGTGTTTAAAACAGCAGTGAGTGCATGCTGAGCGAGGGCCCAAGGGGCTTCTTTGAAAGCAAGGCTTTTACATGCAGGGGTTTACTGCCCCACTCTGGATGTTGAGAGGTCCCTTCTATCTCCAGGCACCCCACTATATTTTGCATCAGTGACACTGCTGGTCAGCGTGAGAGTGGAGGGTCCCTTGCTTCATCAGGTTCACCTGAGCCTGGGTGTGAGGAGCAGACACTCCTTCAGCACACCTTACAGGGAGCAAATATGGAGAGAGAGACCCTTCCTCTCCTTGGGTGCTCACAGTCCAGGGAGAGACACCCCCTCCTACTCATGCATATACACATGGCCAGTCCCCTCAGAGTGCGCTGTATTTGCCCACATCCATGTGTGCAGAGCTGATGCCCAGCATGGCACAGGAGTTGCACAGACCTTTTCCAGTCTCTGCCTGAGGCAGATTTGGGCTGGCCCTGCTGCCAAGCGTGATACACTCCTCAGTCCCTTCCAGAAGCAGGCCCCAGTTTGTACCCCAGGTGTGAGCCTGGGCACCTGCAGGCTGTGCCCTTAAGAGAGTCTCAGTTTCCTCCCCTAGAGCACTAAGCAGAGACTCCTCTGTGGCCCTGTGGCTAAGCCTGGTGGAGTTCCTGGTCCAGGCCAGTGGGGTCTCCCTGTCTCCCACTGTTCCAAAGCCTCACCACTCCTGGGTGAGCCAGGCTCCTGTCTGGGTCCTTCTTCAGCTCTGTTTATGTTCACAGCAAAATGGCAAGGAGACCTGGGCCCCAGGCCGCATTTTCCTGTGCCACCCACTTGCCCAATTAAAATACTCTTTAAGCAAGGAGAAAAGGAAGAGCCTCCCTCACAGGAGGTGATGGGCTGGTACACAGAGAGAGGGATCTGGGATGGTCCACACGTCCCCAGAGAATTCCAGCTGGGATGTTCCAGGCACCCCTTGTGAATATGTCCCAGGCTTTCCTCCCTAGTGACCATTCCAAATTTTACATACTGCTTCAGGCAGTATGGCCAACTCTCAGTTTAGGAAACACATGGTCCTGATATACCAGCTGGAAGAAATTCTCACACTGAGGGTCTCCCTCCCTGCCCTTGACCCAGCCCCAGACTCTGGTCTGTAAACCCGCACCCAAGAGCAGCCCCTATGCCTCCAGATTAGGGCCCATAACCAGCCCCTGACTCACTATGCAGCTGGAGAAGCCGATGCCCCCCAGGCGGGGGCACACGTAGTGCCACACGCCAATGCTGCCACGGCGGATCCTCTGGCCCACAGCCAGCTCCAGGAAGAAGAGGGGGATCCCGATGATGAGCAGCAGCACCAAGTAGGGCACCAGGTAGGCACCTGGACAGGAGGGAGGGACATAAGAGGGTGGGGGGCAAGGGTAAGGGAGAGGTGACAGCCAGGCCCTACAGATGAGTGCCCACAACCCTGAGCATCCTCAAACTGTCACCAGTTCTTACACTCTTCCAGGAATGTTCTGCATCATATGTGTGACTCCCCAGGCACTGGCCACACAGACCCTCCTTCTTCCCCTTGAATCTCCTGACCTGAAATACTAAGGGAGACCCAGGTACCTGTCAACACCTCCTGCTCACAGGGTCAGACTCAAAGACAGGCACTGCGCCGCCTCTCAGGGATCCATAAGCCAAGTCACGAGCAGACACGTTTCCCTCCTGCTGTACTCTGTGGATACTGTTCACACCCCCTCCCACCCACAGAGAAGCAGCCCAGATGGAGTGGGCCTTGCTCACTCAGCCCCAAGAGGCACAGAAAACCCAGGCACAGCATTCCCTGCTTCTGCACCAGCTGCTGACATGCAGACTGGCCAGCTTCAGGGAAGCAAAGCTTGGAAGCTCACCAGGGAGAGAGGGTCTGACCAGAATCGACATTAATCTATAGCTAATTGAGAGGAATGGGAGACAAATTAGCAGTTCAGGAAAGCATAGCCAGGAGGATCATAAAGGATAGAATGGATCCTGCTAAAGATTCCAGATGATAAATTAAACTCACTGCTCGGGGCCTCACTGCAGACACAATCTCGATTCCAAGTGACAGGGCATTTAGCAGGAGAATTAAAACCATGTCTGGACACAGACGAGTGATCCCCACTGAGAGCTGTGCCAATGACCTAGTCCTATTAACAAAGCTGTCAGCACAGCCCTGCCTGTCTGTCAAACGGTGTCAGGCCAGCCCTGGTCACCTGTGCCCTGATGGTCACCCGGCACCCCAAACCAAGCCTTGAAAGCTGGGAGTCTCAGAAGACCCCCAGCCACACTGCTCTGCCCTCCATAACATGACGTCTCACACATGCTCCCCAACATGTGCCCAGTCTTCCAACAAGCCCGGGCTATCGGGTATCTCCTAGGCACAAGACCTGGCTCTTGGCAACAGTCAGCTATTTATTGCAGGTCTGCTTTGTGCCAGGCATGTGCAGTGAGGGGGTACAGGGGCAACAGAAGGCAAAGACACTATCCCAGGAGAGCTCACAATGGAAGGCAGGACCCTCAGATCCACATGAGCGATGTCAGCACCTGTGGACACACACACGCACGCACACACACACACACACACACACATGCATATACACAGACTACTCACACACACACAGACTAATCACCCAGGGCCAACCAAGCACACATATGCGGAGGAAGCTGATCAGGAAAGGCTTCCAGGGTAGGCAACCCACTGAACCTTTTATAGCAGCATCTAATTTATTAAACACATACATGCACATGGTCACATGCACATATAAATTCAACTTGTCACTAACAAGCAGCCCCATCAGTGTGCTCAGAGGAGGGAGGGCCTTATGTCATCTACATAAAAAAGGACTTCAGAGGAGGGAGGGCCTGAAAGTCTGTCTGTCTCTCCGTCTTGGGCTTGGGGAAATGGAAGAGGAGGGACGTGATTTGCAGGCAAGCACAGGGACACAGCCTCACCAGTTTCATATTTCACCCACACGTCCTTGGACGGGGCACGATATGCAGGAAGATGGGTTTCAGGGTGTCAGAGAAGAAGGCTGACATCTTCTGTGGATGCTTCTCCTCACTCCCCAGAAAACCAGGGTAAGCTTCTAAGCAAGCACTGTCCCAAGAACACTGCAGAAAAGGCCAGCCACTGAGGCTCATGTGCATCAGCTAGGCCCTAGGGCACTGACTCGGCTGCCGGTCCCTCCACCCTGCAGCCCAGGCCTGGCTAAACACAGTGCAGTGTTTGGCATAGATGGAGTGGGCCCTGCTCACTCAGCCCCAAGAGGCCCAGAACCCAGGCACAGCGTTCCCTGCTTCTGCACCAGCTGCTGACATGCAGACTGGCCAGCTCCAGGGAAGCAAAGCTTGGAAGCTCGCCAGGGAGAGAGGGTCTGACCAGAATCGACATTAATCTATAGCTAATTGAGAGGAATGGGAGACAAATTAGCAGTTCAGGAAAGCATAGCCAGGAGGATCATAAAGGATAGAATGGATCCTGCTAAAGATTCCAGATGATAAATTAAACTCACTGTCCTGGGCCTCACTGCATAGATCCAACTGATCTATGCCACAAAGGCCTGTGGTCAGGGTGAGCACAGTGGTTAACCAGAGATGTTTTTCCATATCAACCCTTGTTGAAATCATTTGAAAGTGTATCCTCTTCCATCTTAGAAAATAAAACTTGGGGACACAACTGGATGTCCTTTGATGTTTCTGTAGCTTTCAGAAGCCTCAGGTCATCAGCCTGAACAGCTAGGAGCACGATTCAGGGAGTTAGGAAATTTAGCAGAACATGGCTAAAGGGAGTTGGACTCCAGGATCTCTGAGGTCTCCTGGATCTCTAAAAGTTGTGTCTCAGTCCATACGCTGGCTCTTGCTTCCGGCAAACCCCAAGGTTATTCCTAGGACTGGAAAGTCACCTGTTCTCAGCCTGCTGAGATGCCTTCTGAACAAAGATTGAGGTCAAGACCCTGGAGCCAGACCTCCTGGGTTTGAATCCTGGCTCTGTCACTTAGTAGCTATGTGACTTTGAGCAAATTACTTACCCTCTCTGTGCTGCTATTTTGTCATCTACATAAAAAAGGACAAAAAGGATTAGATAGAGCCATATGAAACTGCTGATATTTGACCATTTTTGAATTACACAAATGGCCATTTCATATACTTTGACTCTATACCCATTGCCCACGGCTGTTGTGAAGATTAAATGAGTTCCTTACCTGTAGTAAGCACTTGGTGAACATTTGTCTCTCTCTCATAAAAATAAACAACAAAAAGAGCAAATTAAGAGGATGCAGAATAGAGGAACTGTCAGTATCTGGTGGAGCTAAGCAGAGTTCCAATATTCCCACCCAGAATTAACCAATGTTTGACTGGATCACTCACGGCTCCAATCACAGAGCTTCAAATTTCAGACCAAACAGCTGTCTCCTTCCTGAGATAATCTGCCAAAGCTTTAAGATTATTTACTTTACTTGTAAAATATAGGAGAGTTAAAGGTAGAGGTAAAAATAGATCCCAGGAATCAGAGAGGATGGAAAAATGAAGGCAGGAATGTGGAACAGCAAGCTCAGAATCCTAACAGTTGACACTGCTTTTCTTCTGGGGGTTGCTGGCGATGTCTGGTGCCATGGCAATTGTCTGGCAATGCTGTGAACTGGCAGACTTTGGCAAGAACATTGCCCTGGGGATGGGGGAGAGGAACTCTATGATTCAGCACCAACTGCCCAGGCAGAACTGATCTATGCCACAAAGGACAAAGTTAGACGTTCCCAGCTAGAGTCTCCAGACGCGACATGTCCTCTAAAGTCTGAATGCCTCTGAGCTCTTCTCAGCATCTCACCGCTCATAAGAAAACCACACAGTCCTATCTGTATCTTTGCTTTTAGCTGATCTTACACCAGCTCAGGAACTGGGCCTGCCATGACATAAGACCGAAAGATCTGATTGGCAGTCATTTCTTGGGGGAAAAAAAAGATCTTTCAAAGCAAAGAGAGCATGTGGTGAATACAGGCACACCTCACTTTACTGCACTTCATCACAGATACTGCATTTTTTACAAATTGGAGGTTTGTGACAACCCTGCTTTGAGTGTTTTTGGTGCCATTTTGCCAACAGTGTTTGCTCACTTTGTGTCTTTGTCACATTTTGGTAATTCTCTCAATACTTCAAACTTTTTCACAATTATTATATTTGTTATGGTGACCTGTGATCAGTGATCTTTGATGTTACCACTGTAATTGTTTTGGGGCACCATGCATTGCTCGCATGTGAGATGGCAGCAAACACCACCCTGCCCAGTCAGCAGTCATCAGCATCGAGGCAAGATCTTCCACCAGCAAAAAGAGTAAGACTTGCTGAGAGCTCAGACAACCGTTAGCATTTTTTAGCAATAAGTTTTTTTAGTGAAGGCATGTACACTGCTTTTTTAGACATAATGCTGTTGCACACTTGGTAGACTATAGTATAGAGTAAACATAAATTTTTTATGCACTGGAAACCAAAAAATTCATTTGTCTCACTTTATGGTGATATTCACTTGATAGTGACATTTGTTTTATTCCAGTGGTCTGGAACCCAACGTGCGGTGCCCCCTGAGGTAGGCCTGTAGACTGTGCTAAGGTGGAAAGATGAGAGCCTCCAGCCTAACTCAGTTACATGGGCTCAGCTGGTCATTCTCACTCCCTTCAGTAGAAACTGGAAACGAGGGGAATCTTCCAGCCAGACTCTGCCTTCTGAACAAAAGAGAGTGCGCCCTGGAAAGCAAGGAGGGCCCCTGACTGGGGCTGCACCTCTGGGAGAGGTTATGTCGTAAGAGTCCCATGGAGCAGACAGGGAAAGAGTCAGGTTAAAATACCTACAAAGTTGAGGCCAACCTTGGGCAGGGGACTCAGAGGCACAAAAGCTCTCTGCTGGCTCAAATCACTTTCCCAGGACCTGAGGTCTGAGCTTGTAAACGTCATTGTTTCCAGTCATTGGATTTTTCTTTATTTTCCATTAGCTTTCCCCTGGTTCCAAAGCAAGTTGCCCTTGGAACATTCCAGTATGTCTCAGAGGTACTGTGGGGATAAGGCCTGGGGAGCTGGAAGTAGTAAGTATAAGGGGTTTGATACCAGGGGCAAGATCCTCTAAGGGGATTACAACTCAGGGGATAGTAGGAGAGCCCTCCCACCTGGAAGGTGGTAGGTGTGCTGATTAAGTTCTCAGGCTCTGGGGCCAACCTGTCCAGGTTTGAATCCTGATTTTATCACTAGCTGTGTGACCTTGAGAAGGTTATCCAACCTCTCTGTGCCCCAGTTCTACAGTCTCTAAAATGAGGATGATAGTAACTACTTCCTCTCATAGGGTTGTTGGGGGAATTCGATGGTTTAACCATATGAAATTGGTGCTTTCTTTGTCCCAAAATGCTCAAATAAACAGCATTACATAGTTGCCCTTGGAACATTCCAGTATGTCTCAGAGGTACTGTGGGGATAAGGCCTGGGGAGCTGGAAGTAGTAAGTATAAGGGGTTTGATACCAGGGGCAAGATCCTCTAAGGGGATTACAACTCAGGGGATAGGAGAGCCCTCCCACCTGGAAGGTGGTAGGTGTGCTGATTAAGTTCTCAGGCTCTGGGGCCAACCTGTCCAGGTTTGAATCCTGATTTTATCACTAGCTGTATGACCTTGAGAAGGTTATCCAACCTCTCTGTGCCCCAGTTCTACAGTCTCTAAAATGAGGATGATAGTAACTACTTCCTCTCATAGGGTTGTTGGGGGAATTCGATGGTTTAACCATATGAAATTGGTGCTTTCTTTGTCCCAAAATGCTCAAATAAACAGCATTACATGTATTTCAGCCTAATATCCAATACATGCTTACAATAGTGCCTGGCACCCAGTAAACATTTAGTGATAATGGCCACAGTTGCTCTTTACTGTGTGTGAGATTCAGTGTTAATTGTTCTATGTGTAAAGCTCATTTAATCCTCCCAATTATCCTGTGAGGTAGGATCTACTATGATTCCCATTTTACAGATGAAGAACAGAGAGGCACAGAGAGATGAAGCAACTTATGCAGGGTTGCAGCACTGACTGGCTGTGCTGAGATTTGAACCCAGGCAGTCCTGAGCCAGAGCCCAGGATCTTATCATCATGCCCAACAGCCTCTCAATTGCTGTTAGCCATTAGCTATTCCTGGGCAGTCTTACTCTGGAGTCCTGATCTCCAACCCATAGGAGCTCAAATTCTGCATCAGCAAAGGGTGTTCTTTTCACCCCTCAGCCCAACCATTTATAGGACAACCTTGGGACAAGCAAGGCTGCCTTTTACCTCCTCCGTTTTTCTGGCACAGGTAAGGGAACCTCCAGATGTTTCCCAGACCCACAGAGAACCCAATCTGGGCCAGGATGTACTGCAGCTTGCTGTTCCAGGCTGGCCGGTCCTCGGTCTCCAACTCCTCCTCCGCCGCCTTCTGCTTGCCTCCCGCCTCACTGGCCACGTTCAGGACACTCTGCTTGTAGTCCATGGGCTCCTCCAGGGCCAGCAGATCGGCCACTGACTCTGTGACATGCTCGCCACTCTGCTCACGCTGGGTCACCTTGCTGTTCTTCGGCATTGGTGCCCCTCGGGCCATGCAGCCCTGCGCCCAGCACACAGAGAAGGTGGGACTCAGCTGTTGTCAGCTCCTTCTCATCCAGGGACCTGGGGAACCAGGGGAGCAGGAAAGGATTAGCTGGCCACCCCAAACAGGCAGGGAGCTCTAGTGGACCCAACCCAAATCAACTCCCCATCACGCACTCAGGACTGGTCAGTGCCCTTGGATATTGAACTTGCCTTCCTTCCCATAATGGGGAGCTGACCGAGGAGTTTAAGGTCTGCAGACTCAGTTTTCCTATGAGTGTTACCTAAGCACCATTAGAAAGGGAAACATAAGGAAGCAGGCGAGGCCAAACCAGACATCAAACCCAAATAAAGAGCCCTCTGCCATGATGTCGGCCCTTTTCATAACTGCAGAGTGTTCAAGATCGTCTGGGGGTCTCCACAGCCTTTCTCTCCCAGGACTGTGCAGCCCTCTTGTGTTCTATTTAGCCACACCACCTGGTAAGACCCAGGAAAGCCAGTGTCTTTCTCTAGGGTCTTTCTCCCCAAAATGCAGTTCATGGGCCAGTGGCCTCACAGGGAGCTTGTTAGAAATGCAGAATCTCAGGCCCACCCCAGACCTACTGGATCATTCTCTGCATTTTTACAGGATTCCCAGGTGAGTCAAAAGGACATTAATGTTTGCACATGCACACAAAGACTAGAGTTCTCACTGTAGGGTCCCTGGACACCAGCCCCTGTGGCCGATTCACTCCCCAGCAGGCGCACTGGCCACGCTTGGTGAAGGATTCTGGCTCCAGAGCCCTAGAGGCGCTTCCATGGTGCCAACACATCCTGGTCCATTGCTCAGCGCTGACATTACCTGAAAGCCACTGCAGCCAAGAGCTGGTTCTCCATCCTTCAGTGACAGTTTTATAGCAGATAATGTCTGCACAGCCAGGGCGGGGGAGGAACAACCCTCCCCCGCTCCTGCCATTCCTTATGTTTTTCATGCTTTCTCTTAAAGAAAAAAAAACACCAAGGAAATGAGTCCTTGAAGGATCTCAACACTCTGCTATGTTTCAAAGTGCTTCCTCATTAAGGGGAGATTGGAGGATTTAAAATTAAACACATGTATACCCTGGCCTGCAATTGCCCTCCATTTTTCTAAGGGTGTAAATTACCCAGCTCTGTAATGACTTCACAAGGGAAGGAGCTGCCTCTGGAAGCCGGGCTCCCACTGTTCTCCTCTTAGGCACCACGTGAACAGCACGGGCAAGGTCGCTGCACCTTGCACGTAGAAGCATGCGTGACTGCCCTTTCTCCAGCAAAGACCCAACCTTAGCAGGCACCTGACCAGCCAGATCCCATTACACACAGAACAAAGCTGGGAGGCCTGACAAATGGGGACGACTGTCCATGCTCGTCTGCAGGTCAGACCTTGGGCCACATCCATGAGTGACACCTCCCTGCCCTCCTCCGCCGAGGAGGATGGTGAGTCTTTATTGACTGCCCTCTTCCATCCTGGGCACACGCAGGGGCTTGGCCTTTGGGGTGACTGGGACAGAGCCAGCCTAACTAAAAAACCTCAGAATTTCCTATAAGAAGCACAGCTCTCTGGTGGGACTCCACTTCCTAGTGGGTTAGATGAAGATTCCACTGTGTCCCAGCAGGTGCCCAAAGTCTGTGGACCCTTCAGCTCTCAGCCTCCCCAGGCTGTTACATTGCCCACGTTACACAACCGAACGGCACCTGCAGGAGTTGTGCAATGGGGAGGCCTGTGTTTCTGCCTAGGCTGCCAGGAAGAGCCCGGTTCACCCGCCCAGTCAGCAGATCCCTCACCCCAGAACACTCAAATGGAGAAAGCCTCAGGCACACACAGTGGCTGCTTGTCTAGCTATCCCATTGCCCCAAGAGCTTACATCAAGATTTTTACTAAAAACTAGAGCTGGGGAGAAGGGTTGGGCTGCTTTGGAGACTGCGATCGAGGGTCCCTCACCTCAGAGTCTCTCTCCAGGTACTCTGTCTAGGATCTGATCAGAACAATATGCAGTGCATTAGGTAGGAGGTAGTGACCATGCTGCCACAACAGGAGAAAACCCAGGGAGGCTCCCACAGGTCTGCCAAACTCATCCTGATGCTGACCGACTGGACAGTACACTTCCCCATAAACAGCCTAGTGAGCAGCAGCTCTGGTCACCAACATGAGAATGGGCTTTGAGCGGGGGGAAATGTCATTTTAAACTCAAGGCCTCAAGGATAAAATGAACACATTTTGGTAAAACCAGAGGAGGATACCCACAGCAGCATCAAGGAAACCACTGGCACCAGTCGGCTCTAATACCAGCTTCTTCCCTCTTCCCAGGGCATCACCGATGTGCATGAACATTCTGCACTGCAGGATGGGGGCCCAGGGCCTCCTGTGCCACCGGGTTTTGCAAAGTGCTTGTGAAAATTTGCAAACTGAGGCACTGGGCTGGGCTGCAAAGATGACTGGAACCTTCAGTGCCCAGTGAATACACTCAGAGGGCAATAGAGTCTGACACTCAGAATATTAAGTGGTCTATCAATATTTCTCAGTTTATTATGAGGAAACTGAGGCCCAGAGAGAGTAGGTGAATTTCCCACAGCCTCTGGGTCATACTCAGCAGTGGACTGGGACACAGAAAGGAGACCACGGGCTGTGGTGGTAGATGGCAGGCCCTTTGAAGTCAGACATCGCCGGATTTGAGAGCTCAGGTTTCACTTACTCAATGTACATTTCCTGAGTACCCTCTCTGTATCAGGCTCTGTTCTAGGTGGGAGGGATGCAGCAGCAAATAAACTAAGCAAAGTGTTTCCTCTTGTGGAGTTTATATTTCTTGTGGAAGGGTCAGATACTAAAGAAAGAAGTAAACATACATAATGGCCAGTGGTGGTACTTGCTCTAAAGAGAAGTAACATGGCGGTGGGTTGGGGGTTGGGGAGCAGGGGTTAAGGGCTGCTGTCTTACAGTCTGGAAAGGCAGCCCTGAGGAAGGGCCATCTGAGCACAGGCACTCAGGAAATGTATGTCAGCTGGGTGAGCGGATGAATGAATGAAACGGGAGCTGTCCAGGCCTGCCTGACTTCAAAGCCCCCACCCCTATACCACCACAGGCCATCTAAGGACCCTGGCTGGTGCTCTGAGGGAGGTGAGAAGTTATGAAGCATTGGTCCCCTCATGGGTAAAAAGGTTCAATTTAATGACAGCTTCCCCCTCCCAGTGGTGACGCAGTGAGAATTCAATGAGCTGATTCATACAAAGGGCCAGCCCAAGGCCTGGCACCAGGAAGGACCCAAACACGAGCAGCTGCTACCTGGAAGCCTTGCTTTGTTTGCCTTTATTCATTTAAAAATATGTAAGGCCCCTGTTCATATTTGGTCATGTACATGCCCTGCTTCTCCTCAGGAAAAGCCAAAGTGTGTCTGTGGCAGGAGTGGGGACAGAGGTGGAGAGAAACATTTTGCAGCACTTACCTCTCAGAGACGTCCGTTTTGTTAGTGAGAACTGCACCGCCCTGAGGCCACTGGGGCAGCACCACACGGAGTCCACCCAGCTCACCTCACGCCAGTGCCAAAGGGAAGCGGCAAAGGCTGGGCAGTGCCATGTCTTGAGTCCAAAGACCAGCAATATTATTACTAATAAAGCATGGCCTCACATTAAAGCCTAACAATATTATTAATCAAACTATAGTTTGCATGTGTAACCACTTAAAAACATTTTTTATCCAGTCTCCTAGCACACTATGGCAAGGTGATTCTGCTCAGAGGACAGGCTGCCTGGGTTCAAATCCAAGTTTACCAACTGCCTGGCCTGGCAAGTTTCTTAGCCTCATGCACTTCGCTTCCTCAGCTGTCAGAGGCAAATGATCTCAGTGCCCCTCGCAGTGCTGGAGAGGGTTGGACGTACAGACCTCAGAACGGTGACGACCCCCAGCAAGTGCTCACAGATGTCACCTCCCCTTGGTATCTCTTTGGATTCACAGTGCAGCCTGGGAAGTAAGCTGGACACCTGTGCCCAGGGCCGTGCGTGACTCACATCACACAGCTGTCAGCACCAGGTCTGCTCATGCCTGTGCTTTCTCCATGTTTTTAATGTGAAGGTGGCAGCAGTGACTTGGAACAACCCCCCTTCCTGCCCCTCCAGTTCCCCGAAGCCTGGAGTCCTGGAGCTGCTGAAGGTCAGCTTTCAGAGCAGAGCTTGGGAATCCAATGGGTACCTGGCCAGCAGTCTGGAAGCATTGCCAGGGATGAGCACTAGACTCAGAGAAGGACCCAGGAGGGGCAGATTCCTCTCTGCCCTTGCCTTTGCAGGCTGTGGAGCCAGCCGCAATCCAGGCATCAGGAAGCTGACTAGGTGCTGGTTAGTCTCGACCAATCACCAACCACCCATACAAACAGCACCACTGCCCTGACCACACTAGGCCTTGGTTTCCCTGGATGTGAAACGCATTGGTCTGGAGGATCTCTGAGGCCCCTCTCAGCTCCGCATATACCCAGGGAATGCCCCTCTTGCCCGCAGGTGTGAGCAAGGCGTGACCTGCCCAGGCACCAATCCTGTAGGTTTCAGCCTGTCTGTCCTGCCACCCTCCATCAGTTGACAGCTTGCTGGGGCATCCTGGGAAAGCTCTGGCAACCAGCCCAGCTATAGTCAGATTATCCCTCTGTAGTAGCTGGGGTGGGTGGTGAAGTCACTTTCACGAGCGGCGCATCAGATGATGAGGATCCTGGTGCTCTCCGAAAGGCATGCCTCAGTGACTCAAAGCACAGTGCAGAGGGGCGCCAGTGCCGAGGAAGTCCTCAGTGCCAGATCGGTCACTTAGCAACAGATGCAGTTTACAGCTCAAAAAGCACAGGAGAGATGCAGGACTGAGTGAGTGAGCTGTGAATCCTCTTAAGAAGAGAAAAAAATTATGCGACTAGGAGGCAGGCAGGTAAAAATATCTCCTGCCAGAAGGCTGCCAGCTGACAACAACTTTTCAAGCACAGCACCCAGCCATTGCCTCGTGGAGTGGGGACATGGGGACAGCTACTCGCTGGCCAAGCTGGGAGCCCCTGCCCACACAGCAGTCAGAGATGGGGAGGGGGTCCTTCTGGAGCTGT